GCCAACATGGATTTAGAGCGGGAAGATCATGCCTCTCATTGCCACTTGGACGCTATGACAAAATCACTGAGTCATGAGAAGAAAAACAGAATGCAGATGTGGTATACACGGATTTTGCAAAGGCATTCGATAAATGTGACAATGTAGTGATAGCACACAAAATGAGGTCAATGGGAATAACTGGTAAGAAAGACACTGGATACTCAGTTTTCTGTCGAACAGAACACAATGAGTAAGAGTCAACCATATAAAATCAAGTCCAAGTGCAGTTAAAAGCTCTGTCGAGGTGCCACTGTACATGGTACAAAACACAATCACATCTGCCCATAGTAGGAAAACAGCATGTAAAGGATTTGAGAATAATGATGTCTGACGACCTAATGTTCAGGAAGCATAACCAAGCAAATATTGCGTCAGCCAGACAAATTATAGGATGGATTACGAGAACTTTCAAATCCAGGGATCCCATCACAATAGTTGTACTCTACAAATTAGTTGTGCTGTCCTGTCCTGAGTACTGCTCAGTACTCACTTCCCCCTTCAGAGCAGGAGAGACTGCTGAAATAGAAGGAGTACAGAGTACATAGACGCGATAAAGCCCCTAAATTATTGGGATTGTCTCGAAGCTCTCCAAATGTACTCACTAGAAAGGAGACGAGAGAGATATCAAATAATATACACATGGAAAATACTGGAGGGCCAGGTCCCAAATCTACACAGTAAAATAACAACATACTGGAGTGAACGATATGGAAGAAAATGCAGAATAGAACCAGTGAAGAGCAGGAGTGCCATAAGCACAATCAGAGAACAATGTATAAACATCAGAGGTCCATGGTTGTTCAACATGAGGTATGTGTACCTCATGTGTAGCTTGTCTCATTGCCTAGTACGTGTAGCTTGTCTCATTGCCTAGTACGTGTAGCTTGTCTCATTGCCTAGTACGTGTAGCTTGTCTCATTGCCTAGTACGTGTAGCTTGTCTCATTGCCTAGTACGTGTAGCTTGTCTCATTGCCTAGTACGTGTAGCTTGTCTCATTGCCTAGTACGTGTAGCTTGTCTCATTGCCTAGTACGTGTAGCTTGTCTCATTGCCTAGTACGTGTAGCTTGTCTCATTGCCTAGTACGTGTAGCTTGTCTCATTATGTGACATATGAGGTGTTCGTCTCATAACCTAGTGCAGCATGTGTTGCTCATCTCACTACCTAGTATGGCTATTGCTTACTCTTATTACCTGATGTGTGTGTTGCTGGTCTCATTAAACTGTTGTAGACTCTGCGCGGCACCATAAATAGCATGCTGCTCAAACTTGTGGGTGAGCACCACAATTGTTTCTGCTGCATTCTCCTTTGCCCATTTTAGTGCTGCATCAATATTCACTTCACCAATTACTGTCTGAAAAATTGTAAGTGTTACAGGTTATAATCATCAATTATGTTTAGTGTTACAGTTTATAATCATCAGTTTTGTAGTTAGTTGAGATGATCGGTCACAATTCATCTGCAGGACCTATAATGATTGGTCTCATCCAAGCAGGTGCAGTAAGCACCTGTAATGATTGGTCTCCTCCAAGCAGATGCAGTAAGCACCTGTAAATACACAGACTTTGCAAGGGTTTGCTGAAATAGAGGGAATACAGAGAACATATACGGCATGCATAGACGAGATAAAACTTCTAAATTATTGGGATCGTCTCAAAGCTCTCCAAATGTACTCTCTAGAAAGGAGACGAGAGAGATACCAAATAATATACACGTGGAAAATACTGGAGGGCCAGGTCCCAAATCTATACAGTAAAATAACAACGTACTGGAGTGAACGATATGAAAGAAAATACAAGATTGAACCAGTGAAGAACAGAGGTGCCATGGGCACAATCAGAGAACACTGTATAAACATCAGAGGTCCGTGGTTGTTCAACGTCATCCCAGCTACTATAAGAAATATTGCCGGAACAACCGTGGACATCTTCAAGAGAAAACTAGACTGTTTTCTAAGAGAAGTTCCGGATCAGCCGGGCTGTGGTGGGTATGTGGGCCTGCGGGCCGCTCCAAGCAACAGCCTGGTGGACCAAACTCTCACAAGTCGAGCCTGGCCTCGGGCCGGGCTTGGGGAGTAGAAGAACTCCCAGAACCCCATCAAGCAGGGTATTTGGTAAGTGTGACCATGGAGTGATAGCCCACAAAATGAGATTTTCTCTTTTGAGAAAATTGAAGATGAGATCTACAATTTTCTATCAAACAGAATGCAGAGTAATAGTCAATCAAATTAGATCACGTCGAAGCACAGTGAAAAGCTCTGTACCCCATGGCACAGTCCTTACCCCGGGGTAAGAACTGTCCCTTAATGTGCCTGCATGACTAGGGTAATGCTTTTTCCCGCATTGTGCTGTGAGCCTGATGAAAGGACGGAGCCCTACGAACATGGCATGGCCTGGTGAGTACTGGTCACAAAGCCCCCAACCAAGAGACAAGGTGTTCACAAACAATCAAGCGCAGGAAGGGGAAAGTGCCATGGCACCGAACCCCGAAAAACCCGAAGAGGAAGCCGGTGACTCGGCAACCGATGTAAAAACACCGGGATGCAAACCCAGAAGGTCACAAGAGAGGCGAAAGGGGCTGCCCCAAAGATACCAGAACAGCCTCCAAAGCAAACCCTGCCCAGCGGGTAAACCAGCATGGCAAATTTCAGGCTCCTGAACAACTGCTTGAGCAACCGCCAAGTGACCCGGGTCCTCCTCAAAAACAGCTGAAAGCGGGACCACAACTGGAGCAACACCACAGGAGGGAGAGAGACAAATACAGTCCGCAAATCCACACAAGGCCCAGCCAAGTCCAAACCCGAGACGGAACCTGCGCCTCTCTCAGGGAACCAGGTTCTGGCTCGTGGTCTCCGGTAGGCAAAAAGAACTCGACAACTGGTGACTCCAAGTAAAATGGCACTTAATCAGTATAAAAGCTTCAGGGAGCTGACGGGGCTCCTCTCAGAACTAATGCCATAAAGCCCACAGTCATTGCAAGAGACAGCTGGAGACCCTAAACCAAGCCATCTTAATGCAGCAGAAGCAAGAACATGTCAAAGACCAGATGTGAAGTGCGGAGAAGAACAAGTCAGTGAAGACCAACACTGGCCCAACCCATCGAGAGGCAGAGCCACAGAAAATGCTCGAGTTTGGAATTGAGACCCTAAATCAAGGCCGAGCTGGCCACCAAGGAGCTGGGAACACACTCTTGAGGCAGACTCCAATCCAACCAGGAACAGAAGTCAGAGCTGGCCCAGAGGAAACGGTACAGGATCTGCCCCCCTTCCCCCAGCCAGACTAGCTGAACGCACCTATTTTGAGAGGTTATCTCGAGATGATTTCGGGGCCCTAACGTCCCCGCGGCCCGGTCCTGGACCAGGCCTCCTTTTTGTTACACACACCCCCCAGGAAGCAGCCCATAGCAGCTGTCTAACTCCCAGGTACCTATTTACTGCTAGGTAACAGGGGCATCAAGGTGAAAGAATCATTTTGCCCATATGTCTCCGCTTTCACCGGGGATCAAACCCGGAACCTCAGGACTACGAATCTGAAGCGCTGTTCACTCAGCTGTCAGGTGTCCAGGACCTACACAAGAGCCCTGCAACGGTTAATGGAACCAAGCAAAAGGTGGGGTGGGGCGAGGTGGGGTGGGGTGGGGGGCCAAGACCACACTGACACAAAGAAGCAAAGGACTGGGCACCCAAAAGCATGGGCAACCACAAGAGGTTTTGTGGTTTTCCTCCACCTATAGGTTCTTCCTGCACCAGCCAAGCAAGTGTAGTAAGGACCTGAAATGAGTCTCGGCCAAGCAGGTGCAGGAAGGCCCTGTAATGACTGATCTCATCCAAGCATGTAAAGTAAGCACTTGAGATGACTGGTCTACACTAAGTAAAACTAATAAGAGCTAACCTCTTTAAATGTGTTAATTAGCTGCAGAAGAGTGATGCCTTCCGAGAGCTTAATTTCTGCTAAGGTGTTCTCTGTGAATGCCAGAGTGGTGGCTGCTGGGCTGGTCCCTCCCGATGTCAGTGTCAGCACTGTCACTGCTGCTCCCTCGTGACCTGTCACCTTTGTAGCAATATAAAAATTTTAGTTTGGATTGTTTTTAATTAGTCAAGAATTTCATACATTTAATTACAATTAAATTACTAATATAGAATTGGAAAACACTAGGGGTACTAATCAAGAACACAATAACCATGTGAACATATGATCACCATTATCACAAACTACATGTCCAGCATGAATGGAAAAGTATTATAAAAACGAGTGATGCAATTAATGAGGACTGATCATATTAGAACAGAATATGGTATTCCATCTCCTACACCAATACATATACAAATTACAACAACCAGGGAACAACAACAATACATAACACTAAATAGTTCAATAACAAAACAAAATTCTAAACATTTAAATAACACGACCTTTAACAATTCAACAACAATATATAACCATAAACAGTCCAACATCATGACCCTAAACAGTGCAACAATACATGACCCTAAACAATTCAACAATACATGACCCTAAATAGTGCATCAACAATACATGATCCTAAACAGTACAACAACATGACCCTATGTATGGTCATTATGATATATTAGAGTGTAAACATCTTTATAACTATAGAAATAAGGACATCAGTAGTGTACAACATCAAATTGTTTGGATGTGTAATAATGGTATGATAGAATACTTAAGAGCTACAAGCACTTTGCCCCAAAAGTGTAACACTGAAATGCAATGTTTACTATTTTAATGTGAAATGTAAAATGTGATTTTTTTAACTGTGATTTGTGGATTTGTACTTACTGAATTTGTGAGCCCCTTGATGACCTGAAGTAGTAAAGGATAGAAGTAGCCTAAGCTACTCTATCCTTTTGAGATGTATCTTATTGTCTCACAACAAAGTCCAACAACAAAGCATGACCCTACACAGTCCAACAACAAAACATGACCCTACAGTCAGGCTAACATGGCAAATGCAGCATGCCATAAAAACAAGCATACAAACTCCCAGTGCACCCCAGCACAAACAAAAGAATGCTTACAGCCAAGCGCTCAAATAGAGGAATCAAAGACTCATAAATAGCCCAAGGTGAGAGACTCCACCCCAGAGGCCAGGCTTCTCCCAAACACACCGGAGAAGAAAACTCTGAGCAAGGGCAGCATTAATGGACACCTAATGAAGAAAACCCTACACGCAAGCAGGCCAAAACACCCAATATGAGCCAAGCCCACACAATGAGCCAAAACAAACACACACACACTTAAAGTTAACATTAAAATCAAGGAACAATACAAGCAAATTGCCCCTGCAGGACAAACAAAGTCATAGGATGGCCAGCACTTAAAGTTAAGTGACAGGGCTTGCCTTCGACTGATGGACTGGAACACTACAGGAAGAACTAATAACTATTTCATTAGCAACAGAACTGACCAGTAGAGCTGGCCGAGGACTGGGGCCAGGCTGCCTGGTGGTAGCATTCGGTACTAACAAATTTTTAACTAGTTTGAGTAAATCCCTTGTTCTATGTAAATCATTCGCAAAGTTGTTTGTCAGTTTCGAGGCTTTGTTTTCTGTAACACTTTACTGACTTTCTGGAAACTTTATTCAGTGGGGTGGTAAATTGTCACTCACTCCCTGCATCTCTGTGATGGGGCCAGGTTCTGGCTCTGGTCCCCAGTAAGTTAAACAGAACTTCCTTGGCTGAAATTAAAATAAAAGTAAAATAAATGAAAGTAAAATAGCTTCAGGGAGCCACCAGGGGGAATCCCTCCAGAAAGTATGAAACACAATACTGGATCATTCATCAAGCAAAAGACCATCTCGGAAAAAGAGAACAATACCATAAAGTAACCATATAGCAGGAAAACGTAAAACAAAAAAAAACACGAGCTAGAACATATTAAAACATACTAGATCTACTGAATTTTCCTTTACAGTAATGACCCCACTTGAATATACAGTATCTTAAAATTATACTAAAACATGCATATCCATGCATACCAATTTACTCACCTCTCCTTTCCCTTCAGGATTGCCTGTCCACACATGACTTGTGCTCATGGATCCTCGTACATCAACACATATACCAAGTTTACGGGATGTCTTCTCAACATTCTAAGAAAAGAAACCATAGGAAGTTGTTTAAACTAAAAAATATAAAAACCTCAGGGGTATTTATAAGTCAAATGCTTTACTGCATGCAGTCATGAATAAACCAAAATATTATCTTAAAACTGAAGTAAGATATGCATGTGCTTCACTTTCAAAATTATCTAATGTAGTGTCTAATGTAATGTAACCCATAATATTCAGATTTTTTCTGGCGAGTACCATGAAAATAGAGGACTTAACTCTCTTGAGCCTTTCAAAAAAACCAGCATTGAATGTAATAAAACCCCATTTTCTGGGCGAGCCCCGGAGGCTCCAAGGAGCCTCCGGGGCTCACCGGAGGCTCACTTATCGGGCTCATGTATGTTATATTAGACCAGGACATTAGCTATAGAGTTCAGACCTACCAGGAACCATGAGCCAGAACCTGGCCCCTTCAGAGAGGTTTCAGGGAGTAATGGCCCTGGGAAAACCCCACTGTGCTAGGGGGTTTTCCTTATCTGCCAACAAACAGTGTTAGGCACCCAGAAAGGTAGGCATAACAAAACAAACCCCACACGGTAAGAAACTTACAACAAAAACCGAACAGAGAGGTAGAACTCCCTACAATCCCAAGGAAACAAGCAAACGTAACACACTACTGCCACGCCACTCGTCTATGCAGCCCTCCCCCTTCCCCTCCCCGTGAGGAGGAGGTGGGCCCCGGACCTCACCGCGCCGGCTGCAAGCACTCCAGTTTGGAAGGGAAGCTTCAACCAACGAGAAAAAACTGCTGACCGGTAGGAGGGAGGGTTGCCAGGGAGCCTCCAGGGCTCACCCAAAAAATGGCATTTCATTACATTCAACACTGGTTTTCTGAGGGGAGCCCCTACGGCTCCCTGGAGCTACATACCCAAAGATATGGAAAAGAAAGGGCTGAACCGGGAGACAGCCGCCACAAACTCTGCAAAGCGAAGTTGAGACAACAGGCTGCAACCTGCGACTCAAAGCAACACAAGAACGCCCAGGAGCAGACACGCTCGCAAAATAACGGGCGGCCAGGACCCTGTGCAACCTCAAAATCCCCGCGCTCAAATATGAGCCCAAGACATGGTACCAAACACAACAGCCAAAGCTGTGAACAGATGAACGGCATGGGCATGAGGATAGACTGCAGGTTGGCTAGACTGAAGAGCCCTGCGGACGACCTGAGTGACCCGAGCCCTGTAACAGGGAACGAGGGAAACTGGATCAACCCAAAGCGCATCCCCAGCCACCACAACCGTGGCACGCAGGTAATGGTGAAGAGCCGCAACCGGACACAACACACGATGCAACCCTGGCCGAATCAACCAAGCATCAATAACCCAAGGACCCCTCTGGAAAGCAGCCGTCTCGGTCTTCACCAGAAAAGACGGAGAAGGCTGCAAATGTACAAACCTACCACCAGTACCAAAAGAGCAGAAACCCATGTGCCGGTGGAGAGCAGGAAGGTCCCTGACTCGACCCCCAGAGGCCAATGCCAACAAAAACAGGGCCCTGAAAAATTAATCTTGAACCGAAGGGGCCACCATAAACCGAGGAGAGGAAAGATACGAGAGCACCCTGACCAAGGACCAGGACGGCTCAGGCAGCGACGAGCAGGCCGGAGGTGAAACAAAGCACAAGAAAACGTACGGAACGGAGCAGAAGGGACATCCACTCTAAACGCAAGCTGGAGCGACTCCAGCTTGTGCACAATACGAGGCGAGAGTCTTAGGCATCAAATGACGGTCCTGAAAAAGCCAAGACAGAAAGAACAAGAAACCCAATCAGAAATAGAAGACAACCTAAGAAGAGAAAATGGCGGAAAGAATGCCAGGAAACTTCACACATCGCTGAGAAGAAGCTCTCAGGTGGGACACCAACGAAGTCACCTGATCACCATAAAAATGGTGAAGGCAGGCTGGAACCAGGAAGACGCATCCATTGGTCCACAGAGCTCTGACAGGGTCTTCCAGGGCCCGTAGAGTGTCTACTACAGGAAGCCCTGGCAAGGTGTTGCTGACCGGTTAAAACCCAAAGCTAACAAGGGGAGGAGTACAACACTGAAACCCCTGCAAACGACAGGGGGGCTAGCAGAGGGCCACCTAAATATTATCAGTGGGACTATAGCCACACTAGGCAGACCTTCACCAGGCAAATGAAAACAAAAAGAAAAGAAAAACTCCATAAAAGCACAACGTCCCCAGAGGCAACAAGAACTGGTCACCGCATAGGTGGCAGGCTGCTCAACACCTTGATGCCCCAACCAGCACGATACCACTTCCTACCAAAGGACAAACAAGGGCTACAAAACCCCAGCTGGCTCCAAGGGCGAGGTAAATGCCGAGCAGAAAGAACCTCCACGGAAATGGTTCCCGAACGTCTCCAGGAAGAGAACCCTAACACGTAAGGGCAGTACTCGCAGGATGCTTAGGGAAGGAAGCCCCTAAGTGCATGCAGCCCCCGGTACTGATGAGTAACTCCTGGACACCACACACAACAATAACACAGAGCAGAGAGTACCACGAAGGCAAACACCAATAAGGAATTTGAGGTCAGAGTCATCTGTCCCAGTTGACAATAGCTTGCAAACTGAAGGACTGAGTAGCCAGCGTCGGAGGTCCGGGGATCCCCCATCCCCCTCTCGGGGTGGGGAGGGGAGGGGAGGGCTGCGCGGTCAAGCGGCACGGCAGTGGTGTGACATTTGCTTGTTTCCTTGGGATTGGAGGGAGTTCTACCTCTTTTTTCTATTTTCGTTGTTATGTTTCATACCATGTGGGGTTTGTTTTGTTATGCCAACCTTTCTGGGTGCCTAACCCCAGTCAATGGCAGATAAGGAAAACCACCAACTCCAGGGGGGGTTTTCCAGGGCCATTGCTCCCTGAAACCTCTTTGAAGGGGCCAGGTTCTGGCTCGTGGTCCCTGGTAGGTGGAACTCTATAGCTAGTGTCCCAGTCTAATATAAAACACATTAGCCCGATAGCTCCAGGGAGCCGTAGGGGCTCCCTACAGAAATAAGAGAATAATATAAACCACAGGATTAAAAACTAGCACCAACCTTAGCACTTGCAGTGATCACAGAATGGAGAGCATCAACAACCTGGGGGTTGACTTTGGTGTTTTTCTTGCAGAGAGTCTTGAGAGGAAGTTTGGGAGATTTACTTGCCCCTCCTCTGCTTGGCTTCCTCTCATAAAACTTACAAGACGTATCACCAATATATCTAGGAAAATATTTGAGAATTATTATACATATAAAATTGACCAATAAAAAATTATGTACAGTACATTATAAGGAAAGAAAACTAGTGACAACAAAGTAAACAAAATTATATATTTCAACTGCAGCCAAATGAGTAATGTAACATGATTCTCATGACAGGACTATCATACAATACAAAACAATATTATGAAAAACAATCACTGAATGTAATGATGTTCCTTTTTCTGGTAAACCCCCAGTGACTCCCTGAAAGATCTTTCTAGTACTGCTTTAGTGGCTCCCAGAAACTATTTTGCTGAGATGGGTCCCCATTATTGGATCTCAGCAGTCCCGTTTATCCTGGCCAACAGAGTTTTATTAAAAGAAAACATAGCCGTGGTGCTGGCATCTGTGCTGGTGGCACCAGTGGTTTTGGCACCAATATAAGGAGCATAGTTGTACTCGTGTGGGAAGTTTGTGATAAGTTTGTACCAGAAATGCCAACATTTGATGATACAGATGTTGGTATTACTCCCACGTCCCATATACTGGTATTTGTATTTGATGAAATCAGGCAAGACACCACAAATATGTAATTTTAATATTTCTCAAAGCCTCAATTACTCATGAAGTTTGTTCAGGAAGGAAGTGTTGTGATGAAGGTTTATGCACCAACAATGCCCTAAGCAGCTCCCAACAGACTGGCTTGCAAATTATGCCCTTGCACTTCAAAAGATTGGTTACATACCAAATTCTGGAAAACTTGCAAAACGTGTATGTGTGTGCATTGTTTGCAAGCACACAGATCGAAGAGAATGAAAGCAAAAATCTGTGTGTACCAGTTGCTTTGAATGAAAAGTTGCATTGTGTTATATGGATTGTTCGGCGCGTTGCGCAGTTAAAGGGTTAACCTTCACAACACGCTAAGGGAAGGCCAGGAAGGGTACAGCTCTTCGATGCCCCAATACAAGCTGCACCCCTGGTACGTGTACACTAGCGGAGGCCTAGTGGAGAACCACCAAATAACAATAGGGCACTACCAACCAAGAGGCAGACCACCACCAGGCAACAAAAACAGAAAAAGAAAATCCTGCAAGAGGACAACGTGCCCAGACGGAGCCAGCCGCTATGAGGTAATGACTAGCAGTGCTGTATCCTGCGCCCTTGCCAGTGACGAAAACTACCTCCTACCCAGAGGCAAATAAAAACCCCAGCTCACTCCAAGGGCGGCCAAGTACCGAGCAGTAAAAGACAGTGGAGGTAGATCCCAAGGTGACTTGTGGAAGGTGGCCCCAAGTCCCAAGGGCAGTACTTACATGGCACCTAGGGAAGGAAACCCTAGGCGCATGCAGCCCGAGTACCGAAGAATATTACTCCTGACTCGCACATCACCTGTAGAGACAGGCCACACCACAAGGCACAGAAACAAACTAAATCCAGAGCCAGAGGCATGCGACCTGCCAGTACCACATCAGCCAAGAACTGAAGGATGTATTGCTGGCACGAGGGTCTGGGGGGGGGGGGGGGTTGCGCAGACGCGGCGCGGCAACGTGATGACGTCATGCTAGTTGTTAGTTTTCATTTGGGGAATTCTGTCCACTCGTTTGGCTTTCGGTAGGAATTTTTTCACCAGAATAGGGGTTTGGTTTGGGGTGCCTACCTTTCTGGGTGCCAGACCTGGTCAATGGCAGACACAGAATGCTTCCAACCTCACAGGTGTTTCTATAGACCATTGCTCCTCGTGCCTCTCTGAGGGGTCCAGGTTCTGGCTAGTGGTTCCCGGTAGGCAAGAACTTCATGCATATTGACTGATGCCAGAAAGCTAATACAGTATATACGTATCAGCCTGAATAGTTCTGGGGAGCCGATAGGTCTCCCCCCCCCCCCCCCCCCCCTCCCGAAAAACAATTAGGAAGCAATGAAAATGCATTTAAAAAACCAGTGCTGAATGTAATGAAACGCCATTTTCTGGGTGAGCCCTGGAGGCTCCCTGAACCAGCAAGGTACGTCGCCGGACTGACCCTCTGGAAAGGTGGAGCTGCAGAAAACAACTGGGTTCAGACACCAAGCAAGGACCACTAGAACCAAGGTGCCAGAAGGATCACCTTTCCCTTGAAGAACTCCAACTGCATCAGGATCTGGAGCAACAGCTAGACTAGAGGAAAGTGGTACAGAAACCCCCACCTTGACCAGTCCAGCCAAAAGGCATCTACGTCAAGGGCCTCGCAACTGGAGAACGGTGCTGCGTGAAGAGGTAGATGCCGGAACCAAGCCAATGCAAAGAGGTCCAAACCTAGGTAACCGAACACTTTGCAGAGCCAGAGGAAGTAGGAGGCATCAACTGCTGAACCAAGCCAATGCAAAGAGGTCCAAACCTAGGTGACCAAACATCTTGCAGAGCCAAAATAGGAGGCATCAACTGATCATTCCGTGGAGACAGAAGAAACTGGGAAGGACTGCTGGCTACGACATTGGAGACTCTCCGGACACAAACAGCATGGAGAGCCAACCCCAAGAACCCAGAAGAGCCACAAGTAGAGCCTGGCTCCAAAGATGCAGCAACCAAAGCAAATTTCCCTGGTCAATGCAATAAACCTTGGGAAAACAGTCCAAAAGGAGTCAAACCACAGAGCCTGTAGGAATTTGTATCCATTGCAGCACATGCCACATCGCTGCAAATGCCCACACAGGACCATGTTCCTGATGAAGAGAACAAAAACCCCAAATCAGCGCGATGATCACTGGTGATCTATCCCAAACCGAGAGTCGAAGAGACTGGAAAGACGAGCCCCGACCCCGAAACACTCAGACATATCAGGGATGGAAGCACTGGGGAAAGGAGGAGGGTACACCATGCCCAAAGGAAAAGAAAGAGAAGGTACACACAGAATCATGGTTGAATTGACACACACTTCCAGTTCCAAAACTCTAAACACCATCCAACAGGACACACAACCCAGACCGCTGTAAAACTGGTGAAAACTCCAAGTGTAAAGCAGTCACTGCCTGAAAATCCCGATCATCATCACATAGGTTCGTTAGACGAGCAACTGTGGAGGAACAAGTCCCACATGACTCAGGGTCGAAAATGTCACCGACCCAACATGCAGCAACAAGGAGGAAGAAAGGTATGAGCATTGCCATACACAGCAAACAATGAACAACCCTTGAACTCGCTCAAGGCGAGTGTTGGTTCAGCAGGAATATCCAATAGACCACCAAACCAGCAGGGGATTTCCAGGAGTTTGCAGGGAATAGCCCTACAGAAATCTCAGGCACTGGGGTCACTATGCCAAAACCCTGAGTAGAAAACAGGTCCTGTTTTTATTTTTTTACAAGAGGAGTAAAATGAACACTTGAACAAGTATAACTAGACCAATCCAGCTCATTGGAGGCTGAGAGGCTGACCTCAGCGTGCCTTGTTTAGGTCGTGTGATCCCCAGTGAGCCCTGCCAGCCAAAAAATACACACCTGACAACAGGGATGACCGAAAGCCAAAAACAAATGGACTTTCCTAAGACGAGAGCCACCATAAGTGAGGAAGTCCTCTAAGGGAGTGAGCCTTGAAAGGTCATAGGAAGATAGTGAAAGGGCAGTGCTAGGGAGCACACAGGGAAGAAAGTCTTGTGCATATGCAGCTCCAAGTGCCCTATACTCCTTACTTACACAGCACAAACATGCATTGGAACAACCACAAAGGCAAAAAACACCACTTAGCTGAAGCAGAACATGGGAGCTAGAGGAAAGGAGAGGGCAACACACAATGTCTACCATCAGCAAGAACCGAGGGTGGAGCAGCCGGCTGACCCAGTCTGCCTCCCTCCTCCCTGCCCTTTTTATTGTTTGCTTACATTGTTGGGGAAGTTCTTTTGGAGAGTTTCAGGCATGAATATTTACTTATAACTAGCAGTGCTCTAATTTGTCTCGATGTTGTGGTGCTTCCCCATTGGTGGCAAGACAAGATTCAAGTTCACTGACAATTTGATCATAATGCCACTGACCTCTGCACCTTAAAGAGGGTCCAGGTTCTGGCTCAAGGTCCCCAATAGTACTGAAAGAATTCCATGACTGATAGCACCTAGTAGTCTGCCACTGTATCAGCATTGTAGCATCAGGGAGCCACAAGGAGCTCACCCCAGAAAATAATTTGGAGAAAATTTTTTTTCCTTCGCACAGGGGGACCTCTCATATTTAATAGGAGCACAATACATTGGTTAAAAGGCATCCAGGGCCAATCTCTGGTCCCCCAAATCTTCAGAAACTCAGTTGGTTATAGATTCCAAGGACATCAGTGACTATGTATAGATGTAAACAAAAAGCATCAACTGGTAATATGAGTACACAACACAATAAAATAAACTTACATATTTTAGCCTCTGGTAACATGATGTACATTTGGAAACAGTGAGGACAAATGTGAGGCGAGTAGACTCGGGGTACCCTGTTAACAAGTAGGTTATAAATGGGAATAGTCTAGAAATAAAGAGTGGACAGCGCTTCGGATTCATACTCCTGAGGCTCCGGGCTGGATCCCCGATGGAGGCGGAAACAAATGGGCAGAGTTTCTTGCACCCTGATGCCCCTGTTACCCAGCAGTAAATAGGTACCTGGGAGTTAAGACAGCTGCTACAGGCTGCTTCCTGGGGGTGTGTAACAAAAAGGAAGCCTGGTCTAGGACCAGGCCGCAGGGACACTAAGCCCCGAAATCATCTCAAGATAACCTCAAGATAGTCCTAGGCAGTCTTTTTTATACCAAGTAGCATGATCATTCCAGGTTAGATTGAGTATTCTGTTGTGTCGATTCGGAAAAACTGACCTCCGTAACTGTACATGGACTAGTTCAGTATATAATCATGTTCATGAGAACAGCAGGACCTTGCCTACAAGAGTACCCTAGTGAAACAGTTCAGAAAAGAAGATAGTTTATTACCATATTATTATTATTATTATGATCATAACAAAAAAGTGAGTCACACTAACCTTGTTGGGTGCTCATATGCATGCAAGGCCATTAAGGCTTGTGTGGGAGTAACACTTCCAGATGTAACGCTACTACGAGTCAAACAGTCAACCAGCTTAGATGGAAGTCCATGGGTAGCATCACAGGATGGGTTCAAGAGACTGGCCTTAGCCATACGATTAACACTTGCCACAGCAGATTCTCCATCAAGTTTGTCCAAGATATGAGACCACACCTCAAAATGGTTAAGAGAACAATTTAGATAAAGGTACTGCATTAATATTAAAATATGACCGCATTATCTAGAAAACTGCACTATGGTGGAATCTAAAATTCTGAATTGTCAGAGGTAAGCACATTTCCAAATTTGTAAATTTTCTATATTTGAAACATCTCAAGGATGTCTCAAATATAGAAACACAACAGACATCAATGCATCAATACTATCAGCATAGCTTATATAACATCAAACAACTATCAATGACACAAGATGTGTATCGGCTTGGCATAACTTCTTTATCTCTGTTGTGAAGGCTGCTAGAAGAAACTGCAACATCTCTAGGACGTTGCAAGAGGGCATAGGGTCCTTGTCAACAGACCCCTGAGGCTGCTTTATGGTCCATAGCAAAAATGTGCCCAAGTTATTTGCATCACTTTGGCATCACCAATGCCAAACCCAAACCCAATATGCACACCTAGTCCTTCATTCTGGTTCCAGTTATTACCACACGATGTCATTCTGCCATATGAACCTCATTCACAACTCATGTGTAGTTCATTGTGTTTGCCACCTGCTACCCACCACTTGTAATTTTTGCACAAGATATCACATACTGTAATTACCCAAGTGTATTCACCTACGTCTAGTTACAAGATGAGATATCAAGTGGTATCAAGTCTTCCCAGTACTCTTTGTTGTATAACGCTTTGAAACTACTGACGGTTTTGGCCTCCACCACCTTCTCACTTAGTGTGTTCCATCTACCATCTGTTTGCAAAAGAAAACTTTCTAATATTTTTTCGGTACCTTTGTGTCTTTTAGCTTGAATCTGTGTCTTCTTGTTCTTGAAGTTGCTGGTTTCAGGAATTCCTCTCTGTCAATTTGGTCAATTCATTTTAGTATTTTGCAAGTGATGATCATATCACCTCTTTTTCTACTATCTTCTAGTTTTGGCATGTTTAATGCCTCTTCTCTCTCCTCGTAATTCTTGTTTTTCAGTTCCTGAAGCCATTTTGTAGCATGCCTTTGCACCTTTTCCATTTTATTGATGTGCTTCTTGAGATATGGGCACCATACAACTGCTGCATATACCAATTTTAGTCTCACAAAAGTCATGAACAGTATCTTTAGTATTTCACCATCCATATAATTAAAAGCAAGTCTGAAGTTGGAAAGCTACGCATACACTCTTCACACAATGTTCTTTATGAATTCCACTAGTGACAGTTTACTATTCAAATCCACCCCAGGTCTCCTCCTTTATTAGAGTTCTTTAATTCCTTTCTAATAATTTAAATTTATTTTCTCCGATTCCACATTCCATAACATGGCATTTATTCACACTGAATTCTATTTACCACTTGATGCTCTAAGCACTTATTTTATCTAGATCAATTTGAAGGGCATGACAATCGTCTGCATCTCCTATCTTCCCCAATATCTTAGTATCATCCTCAAACATGTTCATATAATTCTGTATTCCTACTAGTAGATAGTTTATGTAGAAGATGAACATTACTGGTGCAAGAACTGAACCCTGTGGTAGTCCGCTAGTAACACTCCTCCAGTCAGATACATTGTCTCTGATTACTGCCCTCATCTGTCTGTCAGTTATAAAAATTTTCATCCATATCAGAAGACTCCCTGTCACCCTTCCAACATGTTCCAGTTTCCAGCACAGCCTCTTGTGTGGGACTCTGTCAAACACCTTTTTTAGGTCCAGATAGACAGTCAACCGAACCACCTCTTTCCTGTAGTATCTCTGTGGCTCTATCATAAACAAAATCAGCGTTGAATGTAATGAAACGCCATTTTCTGGGCGAGATCCGGAGCTATCCGGGCTGATATGAATGTATTAGACCATGGCATCAGTCAAAGCGAATGGAGATCTAGGCCTACCAGGGACCATGAGCCAGAACCTGGCCCCCCTCAGAGAGGCACTAGGAGCAATAGCCTTTAGAAACCCGTGTGGTTGGAAGCATTCTATGTCTGCCATCGACCAGGTCAGGCACCCAGAAAGACAGGCGCCACAAAACAACCCTATCTGCTTAAACAAAACTGCTACAGAAAGCCGAACTGTTGGAATGACCTTCCCAAACAAAAAATGCAAGCAAACGAGCATGTCACAACCATCACCGCGCCACCGTCTGTGCAGCTCCCTCCCCCCTTCCCTAGGAGGGGGAAGGGGCAGACCCAGACCCCTGTCACCGGCTACCCAAGACCCCAGTTCTGAGGCTGGATGTCAAAAACACATGAAAAATGACAACCAGAGGGAGGGAGGGTTGCCAGGGAGCCTCCAAGTCTCACCCAGAAAATTATGTGTCATTACATTCAATGCTGGTTTTCTGGGGGAAGCCCTGTCAGCTCTCTGGAGCTACTTACCAAAAGACAAAAACAAGAGGGACTTACCTGGGAGGCAGTCGTTGCTAGCTCCTCAACGCGAGGCCGAGACAACTGGCTGCAACTGCCAACCCAAAGCGACACAGGCCCTACAAGGCCCAGAAACATTAACTAAGTAACTTGCAGCCAGGACCCTGTTCGAACGCCAAAATTCCCGTGCCAGAATGTCAGTCCAAGACATGTTGCCAAAGACGGCAGCAAGAGCAGCAAACTTACGAACGAGCGATCTATCCCAGTGCCGTGGGCACTGGGATAGATCGCAGGCTGACTGGACCAAATAACCGTGTGGACAACCTGAGAGACCCGCACCCTGGAACAGGGAAGAAGGGAAACCGGATCAACCCAAAATGCATTCCCAGACACAGAAGCTGTGGTGCGCAAATAACGGCGGAGGGCCACAACCGGACACAATACATGATGCACTCCTGGCCTGACCAACCAGGCATCAACAACCCAAGGACCCCCTCTGGAAAGCAGCAGTCTCATTTTTTGCCAGAAAAGAAGGAGATGGCTGCAAGCGAACAAACCTATCACGAGGACCAAAAGAGCAGAAACCCCCTGCGTTGGATTAGAGCATGAAGCTCCCTTACCCAACCCTCAGAGGCCAATGCCAACAAGAAAAAAGAGCCTTGGAAAAGCAATCTATAACCGAAGGGGCCACAACAAACTGACGAGAACAGAGAAAAGAAAGTACCCGATCCATAGACCAGGACAGCTCAGGCAGCGCATGAGCAGGCCAGAGGTGAAACAACACAGGAGACAGCTTGCGAAACCACACACAAGTAACATCAAGACCGAAAACAAGCTGTGGCGGCTCCGCAAGCGCCGCACGATACGAGGCAACAGTATTTGGCATAAGATGACGGTCCTGAAACAACCATGAGAGAAAGGACAAGACAACCTTAACCGAGAGCGAAGAATACCTACGAAGCGAGAGAAAGAAATGAAAGGACCGCCAGGAAACTTCATACTGCCACCGAGATGAAGCCCGCAGGTGGGACACCATCCAGGACGCCACCTGATCACCATACATATGGTGATAAACTTGAGTCAAAACGACCAAAACCGAAGACTTGAGGAGAAGATCGAACCAGCCACGTGACAGACTGGACCGATCTGCTGGAATAGGCGGAGCCGTGGGAAACCTCCAGGTTCGAATAATGAGCAAGCAGCACCTGAAGCCAAGGTTGGGCCGACCACCATGGGGCCAAGAGGACTACTCTCCCCTGGTAAGTCTCTAAGAGAGCCTGGACCAACAGCTGAACTGGGGGGGAAGAGGTACAGGAACCCCCACCTCAACCAGTTCTGCCGAAAGGCATCGACCACAACGGCATTGCACTCGGGGAAGGGCGCCACGTACACCGGAAGGTGCCTCGACCACGCCAACGCGAAAGTCCACATCCGGGCGCTCGAACGTCTGGCAGAACCAACTGAAGGAGTCGACGTCGACCATCCATTCTGTGGACAGGGGAACGAACCAAGACAGGCCATCCGCCAGAACATTGGACACCCTTGAATGTAAACCACCAGGAGGGCCAACCCAAGAGAACTCGGCAGACGAGTCGCCCAAAGCGAGCCGCACCAAACAGCCAAGGACCGCACTGAACCCTGGTGGTTCAGACAATGAACCACCAGGGAGCAGTCCAAATGGAAGCAGATCATCGATCAGCGGGCGACCCGAACCTTCCAAAGAGAAAACTACATCGCTGCGAACTCCCTCACCGTGCTGTGTACCCGACAGAAGAATGGACCCCACTGCTCCTGGCCGGCCTGGTGAGCACTGGTCACAAAGCCTCAGCCCAGAGATGACGCGTCCGTGAATACATCAAGCGAAGGCTCAGGTAGGCACGTAGGCACCTAGGCATTGTTAAAAGGAAACGTCATCGTTTCTCCACCTTCTGATTTGTGGTTTGATCATCACATGTGGTTTTCCTTAGACCACCCTAAGTACTGCTACTACTGTTATTAGACAAGGAAATCACAATAGTGTGATATATCTATGAGAAAATTTCTGGAGCAGAGTGGGGATTGAACCAGCATCTTGGTGCATGCCGGGTGCACACCCAAACCCACCCACACCACCAGGTGCCACCCAAACCACCACATGGCTCAGAGGTATGGTGCACATCTGGCCTTTACCTAGATGATGGATCAATCTTGGCTCTGTTCCAGTGATTTTCTCACTACAGTGGAACCTCGGTTGAATAATGCCCCTCTTTATGAATTTTTCAGTTTACGAGCTCACTTTCTTCGTAAAATTTGAGTCCATATACAAGCTTTGACTCACTTGGCGAGTTGATACACGTGTAGGTCAACATAGTGCTTGGTTCCTGGTGGCATGGGCGAGGCATGCTTCAGATTACCAGTGTCTCCGGCCTAATGATGATTGCACTTGAATATTGTATTTGGAAAAACAACAGGATGGATGGTGGTGTGACTGGATGGATTGATGGATGGATGGTGAGGGAACAAGATGGATGGATGGTCGGGGAAATGGATGGTGATTGAACTGGATGGATGGATGGTGAGGGGACAAGATGGATGGATGGTGGGGGAAATGGATGGTGATTGAACTGGATGGATGGATGGTGGGGGAACTGGATAGATGGAGGGGGGACTGGGTGGATGCAGGCGAGTGAGACGGGGAGGCTGGTGTTAAGAAAATCTTTCAGAAACACCAGCTCTAGAATTATGTAAGGGAAAAACACGTGGAGGGCGAGTGGGTGGGCAGGTGATAAGAGTGGGTGGATGGACGAGTAGCAGGACGGGTGGATAGGCAGGCAGCAGTGGTCGGGTAGGTGTCAGTGTGTGTAGGTGGGCAGTAATGAGATGGTTGGCAGAGTGGGCATAGTGGGTGGGCATGCAGGCAGCAGAACAAGGTGGGTGGCTGATGGTAGACTATGGTGGTGGGAGGCTGATGGTAGACTATGGTGGTGGGAGGCTGATGGTAGACTATGGTGGTGGGTGGCAGGATGGGCACAGAGTGGGTGGCAGAGCAGGGCAGTCAAGAGACAGTGGGTGGGTAGATGAGTAGCAGGATGGGTGGTCAGAGAGGGTGGGTGGGTAGCAGTGGGCAGGCAGGCAGGCAGTGGCATGAGTGGGCGAGTTTCCGACTAGGACTAACACAGGAGTTTGTCACTCCCGGTCCCCCGAAGACCCCCCCATCCCACACACTGGACCCTCCCCATCCTGCACCCTCTTTTGCTACCTCCATCTCCTCATACCCCACATTGCCCCCCCCCCCTCCACCTCCAACTGTACCCCTCCCAGCCATATCTGGACGGTATTAATACGGTGGGCTTCCTTGCTACCAGCTGATGGATTGGGAGGCAGACTCCCCGAGCACCTGATATTAAAATTTTATTGTTCACTAACTGACTGGATGCGACTGTGAGAGCCTGATTAACTGTGAAAGCCTGTTTGACTGTTAATGGCTGATTGACTGTGAATGGCTGATTGACTGTGAAAGCCTGATTGACTGTTAATGGCTGATTGACTGTGAATAGTTGATTGACTGGTATAAGTCATCAACCGATATGATTGACTGATATAAGTCATTGAATTACATAAGATGTAGGTACATCTTACACTACAGACAGGTGAATGCCTGATTGACTGTAAATGAGTGACGCCCCCAAAATGCAAGTTCACACGCCCAGCAGTCACATGTAAACCAACCACAGCACCGCCCTGGTGGCAAGGCGGGGAAGTGCCCACGGAAAAGTAAAATGGCCACCAAAACAAAAGGAGAATCATCTGACAAAAAGTGAAAATAATGCCAGCAAATTGGGGAAAACCAAAACGGATGGAAAGGGGGACAAAAAAAACCTGCCCAGAAGGCACAAAGCCCAAGCAGGGACAAACAGCCCCAGAACTGCGAACGGGCTTTCCCCACAGCCCAGGAACCCCTGACAGAGGCCCCAGGGCAGAGCCGGCCTTCAGGCCCACCACCCTAGAAGCAAGGCAGAGTCCAAGGGAAAGGCAACAAGAAGGGGGCCTGCTGGTAAGGTCCAGAGATCTCGGCAAGAAGAGCAGGATCAAAGGTTTCCGTCCCCGCAACAAATGGGGCATCTCAGGAGCTGCCCGAGTCTCATCCCTAACTAAACCTCGCCCCAACTCCGAAACCCTCAGACGGTAGGGAGCCGGGAACAGAGGGAAAGGGGGGGGGGAGGGAACAGAGGGAAAGGGGGGGGGGGAGGGAGCAGAGGAACCACAACGGCAGGGAAAGGACCCAGTGGCATGAACTAAACCAAGACCGAAGTGACCAAGACCCCCAAGTCCGACCTAGCCAAAATGGGGCAGCCCCGAGGCATTCGAGCGGGCAACCAATCTAGTGCGCATTTGCAACAACCAAAACCAACAATGCAACACAGACACTGTCTGGGTCATAGGTGTCACCGATACAACAGCCAGCGTGACTGAGGCAAAACAGGTGACCTTCACCCTGAGACAAGGACAACGAACAATCTTCAACCTCGCACAAGGCGAGATGGGACTTTGAAGATGCATCCATGGGTCTGCCAAGTCCCAACAGGGTTTTCCAGGGCCTGTAGGGGGTTCAGCCTACAGGAAGCCCAGGCAACAGTGCTGCATAGCTGGTTGAGCCCTTGTTTTACAAGAGTTTTACATTTGTGTAAAGCCACTAGGACACGTAGCGTTTCGGGCAGGTCCTTAATCCTAATTTTCCCCGGAATACGACCTCGCCGAATTGTTTAACAACCAGGTACCCATTCACTTCTGGGTGAACAGAGGCTACAGTTAAGAATTGGCGCTCGGTCAATCCTCCCCCGGCCAGGATTCGAACCCAAGCCAAAGCGCTCGTGAAATGCCAGGGAAGTGACTTATCACTGTGCCACAGGACCTGCTAATTACAAATACTACAAATACAATACTGAACACAACATCTTGTATGCTAACAAGAGGTAATAGGACTATATCTGGATAGCCCCCGTGCTTATACCCGAGAGGTATAAGCACGGGGGCTTAGAGAAAGGCCACCACAATACCTTAGGTGGATTAATAGTCAAACCAGCAGACCACCTCCAAACAAAAACAGAAAGAAAAGAAAAATCCCTCAAAAGCACAATCTCAGCAGGAGGAACAGGGAACACAGCCGCCACATTGGTAGGCGTGCTGAGCAGCACCTTGTGCTCTAAACCAGCAACAACACTTCCTACCCAAGGCCAAACAAGGCCACTCAACCCCAGCTGACTCCAAGGGTGGGGCAACTGCCGAGCAGCAGTAACCCCTACAGAAGTGAAGCCCGAGAACACCAGGGAAGGCAACCTTAGAACACAAGGGTAGCACTCACAGGGGACTTAGAAAAGGAAGCCTTAAGCGCATGCAGCTCCCAGTACACTATATACTCCTGGCCAATGTGCCACAAACTTCAGGAAACACCACAAGGGCACAAAATCCAGCAAGAATCTGTGGCCAGAGTCAACATCCGTCCCCAGAGCGCTTCAGCCATGAACCGAGACGTGAGAAGCCGGCGCGTAGGTCCTGGGAGAGGAAGGCTGCACAGACAAGCGGTGTGGCAACAATGGGCGATTGCTTTTTCGATTGTTTCCTTTGTTTTCCTTTGGAGAGTTCCGTTTCTCTGTTTGGTCTTGGGTTTTTGCAATTTCCTACCATGTGTGGTTTGTTTTGAGATGCCTACCTTTCAGAGTACCTAATCCCAGTCGATGGCAGACAAGAAATACCCCCAAATACCAAGGGGTCTCCTTAAGCCATTGCTCCCTGCGCCTCTCTGAGGGAGGCCAGGTTCCAGCTCTGGTCACTGGTAGGCAGGACTCCATTGACTGAAGCCCCAGACTAATATAGCATATATCAGTCTTATAGCTCCAGGGAGCCGAAGGGGCTTCCCCACAGAAAATACTGTAATTTTCTGAACCATTTTTTCTAAATTGTGTTTATATTGTAGATGTAATTCAAAAATAATTAAAAGTCAACAAGAAATAAAATGAAAAGACAAGAATTGTTTCAGAGGAAATGTGATTGCTATAGGGTGAAGTAGTATGGTAAAGCACCTCTGCATCCAGTACTGAACACAACTTGCTGGCAACTGTATGGTGAAGTGGTATGGTAAAGCACCTCTGTATCCAGTACTGAACACGACTTGCTTTTAACTGTATGGTAAGGCACCACTGCATCCATTACTGAACACAACTATAGCTAACAAGGAGAGGTAATACAAAATATAAAATAATACAGTATAGCTAGCAAAAATATTAATATATTAGCTGTATCTATATATTTCCCACTACCTTGGCACTAAAACCTGTTCAGAAAGCAGAAATTAACACCTAAAAAAGACATACCTCTGGAGACTTGAGGCTTTGTGAAGAAACATCATCTAGAGTAAGGCAGCCATACATCTCGTGTAGCTTGTTCACTTTGTTGATAACTTGATCCATATTCCCTGAACTCTCTCCTTCCTGAAGATAAAATATATATTCAGTCAGAATGGAATAACTGAGAGACTTTGATAACAATAAATGAACAAGAAAAATTTATTTAACAAGATATGCTCAGATAGTAGCCACTCCAAGGATGTATACTCAATCCCTTTCTTAGGTACATCTTATACTACAGACACTTTTGAATATTTTGAACAAATTAAATACTGGTAGTAATATAATAATTTATGATATTTTGTAAAAATTAGCATAGATCTGCAAAAAGCCATGAGGAATGCCACACAAGTGGAAGTTAATACTATAGTAGATTATAGTGTGGACCCTCTCTCTGCAATTTGTAAAATGTTTATTCTCTTTCATGCATTTTAATAGTTATTTACTGAGCTATAAGGATACTTTATGGAAAAACTGTTTAGAAATTATTGTTCTAGGGAAAAGATGCAAAACCAGCGGTGAGTGTAATGAAACACCAATTTCTTTGTGAGCCCCAGTGGCTCCCTGAAGCTACTATCTCTGTTAGTGTATCATACTATTAGGTCCCATCAGTCGTGGAGTTCCATGGCCTACTAGGAACCAGAGTTGGTAGTGTGGCCTACTAGCTCTGGCACCCCCTCACAAGAGGCATAGGGAACAGTGGCATCCTCCTCTGTCTTAATCCTTCTCATAATTTTGGCGTCGTCAGCAAACATTGAGAGGAATGAGTCTATACTCTCTGGGAGATCATTTACGTATGTCAGAAACAGGATAGGTCCGAGTACAGAGCCCTGTGGGACTCCAATGGTGACTTCACGCCAATCTGAGGTCTCACCCCTCACTGTAACTCTCTGCTTCCTATTGCTTAGGTACTCCCTTATCCACAGGAGTGCCCTACCAGTTACTCCTACCTGTTTCTCCAGCTTATGCATCAGTCTTTTATGGGGTACTGTGTCAAAGGCTTTCCGACAGTCCAAAAAAATGCTGTCCGCCCATCCTTCTCTTTCTTGCTTAATTTTTGTCACCTGATCGTAGAATTCTATTAAGCCTGTAAGGCAAGATTGTGTGCGTGTAATTACCTAAGTGTAATTACCTAAGTGTAGTTACAGGATGAGAGCTACGCTCGTGGTGTCCCGTCTTCCCAGCACTCTGTCATATAACGCTTTGAAACTACTGACGGTCTTGGCCTCCACCACCTTCTCACTTAACTTGTTCCAACCGTCTACCACTCTATTTGCGAAGGTGAATTTTCTTATATTTCTTCGGCATCTCTGTTTAGCTAGTTTAAATCTATGACCTCTTGTTCTTGAAGTGCCAAGTCTCAGGAAATCTTCCCTGTCGATTTTATCAATTCCTGTTACTATTTTGTACGTAGTGATCATATCACCTCTTTTTCTTCTGTCTTCTAGTTTTGGCATGTTTAATGCTTCTAACCTCTCCTCGTAGCTCTTGCTCTTCAGTTCTGGGAGCCACTTAGTAGCATGTCTTTGCACCTTTTCCATTTTGTTGATGTGCTTCTTAAGATATGGGCACCACACAACAGCTGCATATTCTAGCTTTGGCCTAACAAAAGTCATGAACAATTTCTTTAGTATATCGCCATCCATGTATTTAAATGCAATTCTGAAGTTAGAAAGCATAGCATAGGCTCCTTGCACAATATTCTTTATGTGGTCCTCAGGTGATATTTTTCTATCTAGAACCACTCCTAGATCTCTTTCTTTATCAGAATTCTTTAAAGATTTCTCACATAATATATAGGTTGTGTGGGGTCTATGTTCTCCTATTCCACATTCCATAACATGACATTTATTAACATTAAATTCCATTTGCCAAGTGGTGCTCCATATACTTATTTTGTCCAGGTCTTTTTGAAGGGCATGACAGTCATCTAAATTTCTTATCCTTCCTATTATCTTAGCATCATCAGCAAACATGTTCATATAATTCTGTATACCAACTGGTAGATCATTTATGTACACAATAAACATCACTGGTGCAAGAACTGAACCCTGTGGTACTCCACTTGTGACATTTCTCCATTCTGATACATTGCCTCTGATTACTGCCCTCATTTTTCTATCAGTCAGAAAATTTTTCATCCATGATAGAAGCTTACCTGTCACCCCTCCAATATTTTCCAGTTTCCAGAACAACCTCTTATGTGGAACTCTGTCGAAAGCCTTTTTTAGGTCCAGATAGATGCAGTCAACCCAACCATCTCTTTCCTGTAATATCTCTGTGGCTCGATCATAGAAACTGAGTAAATTCGATACACAGGATCTTCCAGATCGAAAACCATACTGTCTGTCTGATATTATATCATTTCTCTCTAGGTGTTCTACCCATTTAGTTTTGATTAGTTTTTCCAATACTTTCACTATTACACTTGTCAATGATACAGGTCTATAATTGAGGGGGTCTTCCCTGCTGCCACTTTTGTAGATTGGAACTATGTTAGCCTGTTTCCACCCGTCTGCTACGATTCCTGTACACAGGGATGCCTGAAAGATCAGGTGAAGTGGAATGCTGAGCTCAGATGCACATTCTCTCAGAACCCATGGTGAAACGCCATCTGGGCCAGCTGCTTTGTTCTTACCGAGCGCCTTGAGCATTTTTTCCCACTTCGTCTCTAGACACCTCTATGTGTTCTATGTTGTTCTCTGGAATTCTTATTGTATCTGGTTCCCTAAAGATTTCATTTTGTACAAACACACTTTGGAACTTTTCGTTTAGTGTTTCACACATTTCCTTTTCATCTTCCGTGAATCTATTTCCCATTTTCAACCTCTGAATATTATCCTTTACCTGCAATTTGTTGTTTATGAATTTATAGAATAGACCTGGTTCTGTTTTACATTTGTCCGCAATCCCTTTTTCAAAATTTCTTTCTGCCTCTCTCCTCACTGCCGTGTAGTTGTTTCTCGCATCTTTGTATCGCTGGTATGTTTGGGGGTTCGGCCTCTTCCTGTATTGATTCCATTTTTGTGTCTTTCGGTCTCTAGCCCTCTCGCAATTTCTATTGAACCAATCCTGTTTCCTAGTTCTGCATCTCTGTTTTGGTATAAATTTTTTTGTGCCTTTATCATATATTTCACAAAACTTGCCATACATCTCATTCACTTCCTTGCCTAGCATCAAGTCTGTCCAATTATACTCACTAAAAAAATTTCTAAGGTCACCATAATGTCCTCTCCTGAAGTCTGGTTTTTCAACTGCTTCAACCTCCTTATTTTCTTCCAGCTTATAACGCATTGCATACTTTATTCCCAAAAAGACATGGTCACTTTTACCCAAGGGAGGAACGTACTGAATGTCAAATATCTCTTCCTCCTTCCTGGTAAATATCAAATCTAGCATGGAGGGAACGTCCCCTTCCCTCATCCTCGTAGCTTGTTTAACATGTTGATACAAGAATGTTTCCAGGATGAGGTCTGGAAATTTACAGGTCCAAAAATCTTCTGTTTTAGCTTCATATGCTTCCCAGTCTATGGATTTCAAGTTGAAGTCACCGACTATCAACAGTCGTGATCTATCGTTATCCGCTCTCGCTATAATCTCTCTCATTATTGTTATAAGACCTTCACGTTTACTATCTAGCTCCTCCTTTGACCATGTGCTGCTTGGCGGTGGACTATATGCATTTATCATCATTAGTTTATCATCCTCATAGCAGATCTCTAGTGCTATTATGTCAACTTCTTGTGGATTGGCAGTCATTATTTCCTTCACCTTTAGGTGTTCTTTTACCAGCACAGCAACGCCACCGCCTTTCCTAATTTTTCTGTCCCGTCTCCAAATTGAGTAGCCCCTCGGGAATATGACCTCATTTAAAATTACATCTTCAAGTTTTGTCTCCGTGAGTGCAACAATGTCTGGTGTCTGCAGCTGTATTACATCACTTAACTCCAGTATCTTCGATCTCACTCCATCTATGTTGGTGTATGCAATCTTCAGGAACTTGTTCCCCCTCTCCTTATTCTTCACTCCCCCTCTCTCAATAGATTTTGTTGGTTTGCCTTTATGTACCACTTTACTGGTTTGCCTACCCCTATCACTTTATAGAAAAGTGTGCGCGCGTGTGTGTGTGTGTGTGTGTGTGTGTGTGTGTGTGTGTGTGTGT